TTACCTGCGAGCCTATCATTTGCTCATTTCCTGTCACACCTGTGTGCTCAGGCACAAAAATGACACTGATATATGTCATCCCCGACCGTCCCAGAGATACAAGCCACTGTAATCTGTTTGCTATAGTTGAGACATTTTCAGCTCGTATTTTATCATTAACAGACATGTCGTCGCTTATTGTCGGAGTTAGAACTCTTTGCTGGCTGCTGAAGATTTGGAAGAAGGCTAATGGGGCTGTCCTGCGTGCTTTGAAACTCAACTTGCCTCAACATAATAATCATAGGCGCCGCCACAAAAGAATATTGAGGGGTTGGGGTCCTTAGCTAAATTATAAATTTTATTAATGGGACACAATGAGCTTAATCCTTGTTTGAGCAATAATAATAATAAATAATTATACAGTTTTTTTAAATTTCACCCCATTTAGGGGATTGCAAGATTTCGTAGCGAAGTCCTGTGAAAGTCTAACATTATGAAGAAAGGATTGGTGGGGGGTGGGGGGTGTTAGCGTTAGTATTAGTTGATGATCATTTCAAACCCTAACATCCCTCTGCTGTCGTATTTTGCCGGAATTTTCTACGCAATTTCCGAGTCCCAGAGATGGGGTTGAAATTAAAGAAAAGAACCAGTAATGATAATAGGTCCTGAATAGCAACCTATCTCTTCTCCTTTGCCAATTCCACTTCTTTCTCATCTTCTTTTCCTTTTCCTCCTCCTCCTCCTTCTTCTTAGTTGTAGCAGCGGAAGCAGCAACTGCAGCTGTGGCTACAATAGTTATACTAGCAGCAGTAGTATTAGCAGAAGGAGGAGAAGGCGTAAAAATATTTTTTCCTTGTTCTTCCATCACTCCTTGTTGTACTTTTACTTCACTATTTTATTTTTGTAATTTTTATGCAGAAGATAAAAGATATGAGCAAATAACAAAAGTTCTCTGCGTCCCCACAGCCTTCAGAGACGTCTCAAGTCTGGGTGATGCGTGTGGCGCAGATAGCAGTTGCAGCGATGGCATGTGCCATGGCTCTCACTGTCAACTCTATTTACTACTTATTTCTGCTGTGCTCAGATTTCATCTACGTCATTCTGTTTCCGCAACTGGTCTGCGTCCTGTACATCAAGAAGAGCAACTCGTACGGATCGTTAATGTCATTCATTGTCGGTCCTTTTCTTCCGGCTAATGGGAGGAGAAAAGGGGTTAAGCATCCCAGCTAGGATAATTTTTCCGTGGTGAGTATCTCCGATAGAATAATTGACCCACGGTGACCCACTCAACGATATTAGGCCATCTTCCGAATAACGGTCCCAAATTATTAGGGCCGAAAATATACCCTAACAGGGCCTCAGTCACATGTAAATTGCGCACTTCCGGCGACTACCGCCACCGCCGAGAGTATCTCCCACGCCGCTACGCTTGGCGTAGATTGGGGTTAAACTAGATGGCTGTGACTCACGAGCAGCAGCTACCGCAGCTTGCTTCATTCTATTTGCTCGTGAGTCTCAGTCATCTAGTTTAACCCCAATCGACGCCGAGCGTAGCGGCGTTAGAGATACTCTCGGCGCTGGCGAAAGTCCGTAATTTACATGTGACTGAGGCCCTGTTAGAGTATATATTCGGCCTCTATAATTTGGGACTTTTATTCGGAAGATAGCTGGATATTATTTCCATGATGAATATTCCGCTAGGATTACATGTGCATGGTGTGTATCCCAAAAGATATTTTTTTCTATGGTGACTTCACACCCTTTGATAATATTTCCACAGTGACTATCCCCACTTGGATCATATTTCCATGTTGGGTATTCCCAGTGGGATAATATTTTCATGGTGACTCCCAATAGATAATATTTCCATGGAGTCTATCCTTACTATTGTAATACTTCTATAGTGACTATTCCCACTGATAATATTCCGACGGTGTGTATCCTGCTAGGATAATATTCTTATTGTGACTATTCAGATAGGATAATTTTGCCTCTGTAAGTGTCCCGCCGGGATAATATTTGTAGGAAATGTTTACTCCACTTTTACACTTGCTGATCTGATAGGTAGGCATTACCATAATGGAACTTAATTCGCCGATAAATTTCTTAAGGTTTCACTTCTGGCTGATCAAAAATCAGTTATCGGAACGGAATGCTTTGCCTCTTTAGTGCATGTGAAAATGTGTATGGTGACCATTTTTTTTAATTGCAATGACATCATTGTATTTGTCTGCACAGCAATCTCACGTGCTTAACACTCTTGACATCCTTAGCCACAGTAATGACAGGTTACAAGATAATGGCAATTTCTATAATACTTGTAGTGATTCTTATTTCAAATAAGATGACATTTGAAAACAAATGCTTGAAAACAGAAACTGTTATGCATGGTTTTAAGAAGAGTGTGCGCTGTGCTCCTTTAAACTTTCTTTGTGGTGGGGGGAGAGAATTAGTTTCTCGGAGAGGAAGTGGGGGGGGGAGGAGGGAGTTTTCGTGGTGGTGGGCGGGGGGGGCGATTGAAGATTGTATCCTGCAACCTATCCATCATAGCCCCTATCACAAATGAAAATCTCCACTGAAATTAGGATGAGACAAATAGGTATCCCTATTATGTGAGTATCACCAGTAATACCACACGAGATGGACGGGGCGAGACAAGAACATTGAACTGATTTGTGATTCTAAAGATTAATTGAGATGACGAAACGTGACAGCCTACGCTTACCGGCAAGGCACATCGTAATGATGATGAATACGAGAGGACTTAAAATAGAGACCTTACTTTAAAGTGAAGAACAAATATATCTGGTTTTTTTTTTCAATGTGGTCATCGCTGCGTTCAGTGCAAGTCATCTAACGCTAAAAAAGTGTTTGGATTTCTGGAAACAGAAATTGTATGTATAACTTAACCACTCATGCACCACCTGTTATATGTCTTCATCGGACCAAAAACCCCTTACTTCGTCGGCGACTCGACCGCCCATTGGTTCGCCGGTAGACGATTTCGTCGCCGGTTGGGACAGTATTTGTGTCTGTCCCCTTTGATCGCATCAACACTGCGGGATTCCTCTTCATGTGTCTTGGTGGCGTGCAGTGCTAAACCATTTTATATAGCGTACATACTAGTCACAATTATAACCTAAAATCCCCCCCCCCCTCCCTTTTCAGGGATGCTTGTGAAAAGTGACGAATTGTTTCGAGCAAAGCATTGGATTGGATTGAAGACTTTCCTCCCAGTGACTTTCAATTCTCCAGACAGTTTGGAACCACTTGAGGCTAGGTCTGGCAGTATGGGCGATGTGCCACACACTGAAAGTGAAGAACTTCAACGGTTTTAATTCATGCACGTGCATTGTTGGGTTGAGCATTGTCATGTTGCAAAACGACACCTTTATTCATAAGTCTACGTTGTTTTGGATTTAACTGCGAGTTGAAGATGATTCCCCAGAAAATCTAAAAACACTGGTGACAGTTTTCCCCTCTTGGCATGTACAAGTAAAGGACTCGTTTCCCCGCCTCCAGCACAGGCTGGCGACCCTACAGACAATCGTTTGTGACGTCAGTTGGGGTCGCCACCAGTGAATTAGGAAACCGTGACTTAAAGTTATTAGTCCGTGTTGTTTTGTTCATTCATGGCCTTCTCTATTTATCTAGAGAAGGCGTTGGTTCCTTCAAGCAGTTCGGTAAAAGAGCACTTAGTTGGCAAGGTGTGTGTTTCATTTCAATCAGAATATTTTCGCTGTTACCAACCATGCTGATCTTGTTACCCCTTGTGCATGATAGCACTTAACAAATTTTTACATTTGTTGATCCATTAATTACATGTAAAAGTAGGTTTTAAAAAATTGTCTTGCGCATGACCCTCGGCAAAATGGCATTGTTACTGTCTATTTAAAACCTCCTTTTATTTAAAATATTTTATCGGAAAGAAAATCACAGCTTTCAAATGAGTCAAAATACGATTACCAAAAGATTTGAGGAATCATTACGTAAACAAGAGTTGAGGGGATTTTACTCAGTGAGGCCCGTTGAGTGTTTTCTGTTTGCACTGTATGCTTAAATCAGTCTCACTTTTGTGTGTGATGCTGCCAAGATAAGGCCCCCAGCATCTTTACTTCACCGAAAGTTACCTTCTACCCTTTTAGGCTGGGTCGTTCTAGGATCATATGTCTGGGAGGGAAGGAAGATATGGGGGGTTTCAAGTATGTAAGCAAGAAGTAATCGGGAAAGCAATTGAATCACCCCCAAAAAAAACTATAACTATGAAGCATCGCTCGTAAAGAATGGGAGGGAGTGGGAAAGAGAGAGAGAGAGAGAGAGCGAGAGAGAGAGAGAGAGAGAAAGAGAAATTGTGAACTATGAATTAAGAATCGACAACACAGGACTCGGGGCATTCTCCTAAGCTCTATGTTCCCATCTTCAGCAGTAGGCGCAAAATTCCAGTTCCTGTGGCACCAGTAACTGACTCCCTTTCTTGTTGGTGTTGAGCATCGGCCAGATCCACAGGTAACTCCTCTCATCGCCATTCTCCTCAGACCGTCATATGAGAGTGGGTGGGGGACGCGCGTACAGATGCAGTCAAACGTCTTTATTACCACGTAAAGCAAAAAGAGGTATCCTAAGCCACAAACGTTCTAGTTATTTCTCTTACTACCCGAGATAAAGCGAGATATGACGGGCGCTAAAATGCAATTGTCAGAGTCTAGCCTTATTATTGATATTGTCAACTACAGCGTTGTAAATAATAACTATATACTGTCTATGTAGTTTTCGTGGCCTAACAAATGATTTCATGTGTCTCCAGGTACGACAAAGAGACAGACACACAATTGTTTCCCTTCAGAACGCTGGCAATGATTATAGCACTCTTCACACTCATCGCAGTGTCGTATTTCACGGATTTCCTCTTTACGCGACAAATTGTCCATCGCAAGTGGGATCTGTACGGATGTTTTGAGGTAAACATCTGCCGCCATGTCTCCTACTTATACATGGCTCTTTCTTACCAGTTAGTTAGTTAGTTAGTTAGTCTTTCCTCTTGTGTCGAGTGCGGCACATAGGGCAGAGGTCATAACTTTCCATGCATGGCGGTTCGTTGCAATCTGTTGTAGGTCTTGGATGTTTGGAGTGGCCCATGAGCGAGCCTTCCCTGATGATAGTTCTTACCAGTAACTCAGATAAAAAAGACTATTACTACTAATACTACAACAACAACAACAACAACAACAACAACAACTACTACTACTACTACTACTACTACTACTACTACTTAGTAGTACTACTTCTGCTGCTACTACTACTATTACTAATACTACTACTGCTACTACCACCACATTACTAATGCTACTACTGCTGCTGCTGCTATAATTACTCTTACTACTGCTGCTGCTGCTGCCATTAATGCTACTACTACAACAGCAGAAACAACAACTACTACTACGACTAGAGCGAGTAACACTGCTTTTGCTGCTATTTGTTACTTACTTCATGATTTCTCGTCCGATATGACAAATGGCCGGCTTGTCCCCGACTCTCTGAAAAGTATATTGTTTCCAGCCAGTTTTTTAATGCAAATTACCCACTTCTGAACCGAGAGTGTAAAGGTTCTGTCGCCCAGTATACAGAATGTAAAACGAGTTTACCAACCGAAAAGCAGCAGAGCCGCCCTTCACTGATAATACCCACCTTAAAGTGATCTTAGGCCACGCTTCTTTGTAGTGATTTGTAATGGTTATATTTGTGTCAGGCTTTAATTTTGGCATATTTCAACAACATTATTGACCTGTTGTTTGTTTCGTTACATCCCCAGCATCTGAACAAGAAACAAGAGATTACAGATTCCATGGATATGGCAGATTCCATGGATATGGCAGATTCCATGGATATGGCAGATTCCATGGATATGGCAGATTCCGAGGAGAGCAAAGATCCCTTAGAGATTAAACATGCCATGGAAATGAATGGGGACTTTTCTTTGACCCCTCACGGCGATTTGTCCAATGGTCTCAATATTCGCTACAGAGAGCATCATGAAACACCGTTAGACGAAAACAAGATAAACTATAGGCTATAGCTCTTGATTGTCTCCTTTGGTTCTCATTTTACAGCTGGTCCGTCTAAAGAGAGAGAGAGATCAGGGTCACATGGAAAAAAATCGGGTGCGACAAATGCAATCGTCTCACCTTGAAATGTCATAAAACTTTCAGCAGATATTTTGTTTTGGCTACAGCTGAGGTAATTTAACCGCTTCACCTCCTCTGACGCTGGAAGCCTAGTAACACCTGACTGCTTTTTGTTTGCTCTACTACGTAAACGTTTCACACTGAACAACTGTTTAGATCAATGGTTCTCAGCCTTCCGCGACCCTCTAATACAGTTATCTCATGTTGTGGCGACCCTGTAATACAGTTCCCTCATGTTATGGCGACCCTCTAATAAGTTCCCTCACGTTGTGGCGACCCTCTAATACAGTTCCCTCATGTTGTGGCGACCCTCTAATACAGTTCCCTCATGTTGTGGCGACCCTCTAATACAGTTCCCTCGTGTTGTGGCGACCCTCTAATACAGTTCCCTCGTGTTGTGGCGACCCTCTAATACAGTTCCCTCGTGTTGTGGCGACCCTCTAATACAGTTCCCTCATGTTGTGGCGACCCTGTAATACAGTTCCCTCATGTTGTGGCGACCCTCTAATACAGTTCCCTCATGTTATGGCGACTCTCTAATAAGTTCCCTCATGTTGTGGCGACCCTCTAATGCAGTTCCCTCATGTTGTGGCGACCCTCTAATACAGTTCCCTCATGTTGTGGCGACCCTCTAATACAGTTCCCTCCTGTTGTGGCGTCCCTCTAATACAGTTCCCTCATGTTGTGGCGACCCTCTAATACAGTTCCCTCCTGTTGTGGCGACCCTCTAATACAGTTCCCTCATGTTGTGGCGACCCTCTAATACAGTTCCCTCATGTTGTGGCGACCCTCTAATACAGTTCCCTCGTGTTGTGGCGACCCTATAATACAGTTCCCTCGTGTTGTGGCGACCCTCTAATACAGTTCCCTCATGTTGTGGCGACCCTCTAATACAGTTCCCTCATGTTGTGGCGACCCTCTAATACAGCTCCCTCCTGTTGTGGCGACCCTCTAATACAGTTCTCTCATGTTGTGGCGACCCTCTAATGCAGTTCCCTTTTTTTCTTATGCGACCCCTGTGAAATGATGCTCGACCCACAAAGAAAGGTCGCGACCGGCAGGTTGAGAACTGTTGGTTTAGATTAACATAAAAGGAGTATGCAATAACATGAAGCAAGCGTTCCAGATGTGGGGTATTTCCTATATTATGTTTCCTCACCCATGCGTAATATAGCCAAGTTATGTTATAATTCGGATGGATGACAGCATAATATCTGCCTGGGCAATGTACAGTGTGCATTTATTGACATACTTTGCACTACATCACAAATAAAATTAAAGATTATTTAACCTACCGATGTAATCATTTCCGCAAAAATATGTTATCGTTTTTATTATCGTTTTTATTATGCACATGTTCATGTTATTTATTGTTTCTTGCAGGCTCATCGCCACCAAGAAATCTGTGGGAGGGGGTAGCTGGCATATTCTGCTTGTGGCAGACTAAGGGAGTTAAGCCTTGTTTAAGTGTGGAATTATAATAATTTTGTCCTAAATGGCAAAAAAAATATATAATAGGATCTTCTTCTTCTTCTTCTTCTTCTTCTTCTTCTTCTTCTTCTTCTTCTTCTTCTTCTTCTTCTTCTAATTGTTCATTTACTTCTGGACTTTGGACTTGTTCGAGAACTTTATTTTACGTGCACATCCGTTTTACAGATCTATCGTATTTATATGCAGATCGTTGGTTCCTTCACGTTTATGCAGATGCACTCCGACTTCAAAGAAAACGCCACTAAATAGTCAACTAGTACATGCTTGTTATGGAACAGCTGGTTTATTTTCTGTTCCCAAAATCGGGACCTGGGAATCCACGTGGGCGAATCAGAGTGCTGAAATCATATAAAATATGTCAACACATGGAAAGAGTACGTCTGTGCATCGTTACTTGAACCAGCTGAACCCACGGCGACCTTTCTTCAGGGTAAGACTCCGCCCCCCAAACCCCAGCTCATTTCCCCCAAATAAAACAATTTTTTGTGTGGGGGATGGGGGGTAGAGGGCCACCTCAAGGTTCCCGTGCACCCAGGTGCCGGCACTTAGGTATGTTGATTTCTGTGTGTATGTGTGTGCGTGTGTGTGTGTGTGTGTGTGCACGCGCCAGCGTGTGTTCGTATGCTCAATAAATCACGGCTGTTTTACTTCTTTGAAAGCATACATTGACATACCACTGACATGTTGGGCATTTCTATACAGAAATATTAACCACAAATGTGGAGGCTTGTAGAATGCTATAGCTGTCGATTCAGCCCGCTTAAGAATTGGACTCAATCTTCAACAACTCCTTTGCTGCCTGCAGTGCGCGATAACTGTTCTAAATCTGGCTAGTTACGATAAACATTTTCAAATTTTAATTAAACTGTCTATTTATGATATTTGTGATAAGTTGCTGGAAACATTCTGAACACTCATTTTTAACTGTTATAGGTATTTTATGCAGTTATATTTTTGCCAATTTACTAATTGTTTAAAATTCACAAGCATATATTAAAACTGGTTCTGTGCCTTCTTTTCTTCTTCTTCTTCTTCTTTGTCTTCTTCTTCTGTCTTCTTCTTCTTCTTCTTCTTCTTCTTCTTCTTCTTCTTCTTCTTCTTCTTCTTCTTCTTCTTCTTCTTCTTCTTCTTCTTCTTCTTCTTCTTCTTCTTCTTCTTCTTCTTCTTCTTCTTCTTCTTCTTCTTCTTCTTCTTCTTTTTCTGCTGCTTCTTCTTCTACTTCTTCTTCTTTTTCTTTTTCTGCTTCTTCTTCTTTTCTTCTTCTTCTTCTTCTTCTTCTTCTTCTTCTTCTTCTTCTTCTTCTTCTTCTTCTTCTTCTTCTTCTTCTTCTTCTTCTTCTTCTTCTTCTTCTTCTTCTTCTTCTTCTTCTTCTTCTTCTTCTTCTTCTTCTTCTTCTTCTTCTTCTTCTTCTTCTTCTTCTTCTTCTTCTTCTTCTTCTTCTTCTTCTTCTTCTTCTTCTTCTTCTTCTTCTTCTTCTTTCTTCTTCTTCTTCTTCTTCTTCTTCTTCTTCTTCTTCTTCTTCTTCTTCTTCTTCTTCTTCTTCTTCTTAGTCTTCTTCTTCTTCTTCTTCTTAGTCTTCTTCTTCTGCTTCTTCTTCTTTTTCTGCTTCTTCTTTCTCTTCTTCTTCTTCTTTAAAAGGACACTTGGCACGTAATGAAATAGTTTCCAGCAAGGCTATGGTATCTTCGCCTTTCTTCCAAACACGTCAGATCTCAGCAAAACCTTCATTGGTTGTCTTTTACGACATGCTTATTAAGGGCTTTTGGTTCTCTTTCTTTTTTCTACCAAACTGTGCTCCGAAACGACACTGTGAGGCTTTATGTAAAATTCAAAAAAGCAATTATTTTAACTTCCTAAGATAGATCCTCGGGAAATGTAGATGTTTCTCTGACAAAGAAAATAAACAGCCCAATGTGCCTAGCGTGTGGAGACGCACTAGCAACGGGGCAATAACTCTGTCACTTGTGAGCTACGGATTTTTGATTTAGTGGTTTGTGTTGCGAGCTGCATATCCAGAAAATGTCTTGTGCGATTAACTGCGTGTGCAACTACTGCTAAGTTTTAACTGCTCCTTCCATCGATGATGACCTGCATTTCCAGAGGTAGACGGTTTGTGTTGGCACTTTTAACCTATGCCGTATGCATTCAATTTGCGTGCGTACGTGCGTGCGGTGGGAGTGTGTGCGTGTAGTTTGGTGTAGGATAGAGGAGGGGGTTGGGTGGGTGGCTGGGTGCGAGAGGGCGTGCGAGCGCTATTGGCTTTCGTGAGACTGCCGTCTGTTCCCCTACGAGAGACAGTGGTGGACATTCTTTACGTTTTTTTTTTTTTTTTTTTTTTCACAGAAGCG